AACAGCCAACTGTTACACAGAATGATCCTCCTCGGTTGCGGTTTGTCTGAAATTTCCCGTTTACTCACTTTGTTTGGTAAGTTGTACGTCTTCCTCAGTGCACCCTGTCAGGGGACTCAGGGCACTGCTGTCTCGTTCCTGGCAACAGCAAGGTTGATTACTTGAAGCACCTTCCCCCCTTTAAAGTTACTTTTGTACTTGGAAGGATGTTGTGAAAGACGTACATTAAGACTGTGTCGATTTTCTGTTTTTCACCATATTTTTTCACAAGGTAATCACATCTTAGTTTTAGCCACCACTGATAATTCTTACTACGGTGATGTTTGTGTTACCAGCGACACTCTGTCTCCATCATTCTTCGTATTTTATTAACTATAATACTAATTGTGTGCAAGAACTCCCTTTCTTGTCAGTGTGGATTTCTGAATTCTGATTTTATTCTGAGTCGGAATGCATTCACATCAACGTTTTCTTTTCTCAGTACTCTCAGATGTGGCAATCGGAAAGCCTTGCAAATTGGATCCTGTGTTCTCACACGTTCCCATCATTGTTTTGAGCATTTCTTAGAGGAATTTTAGTCTTATACTCCATCTTTAGATGACTTCAAAGAGAGTAAGTTTAGCTTGTTTGAAAAAAATAAATCCAGTATTTAAAAATTTTCGATCACTAGCCCAGAATTTTCCTTCTCTGCATGGTTCTGATGGCCAAGTATATTGCTTGTTCTTGACTTTGTTCCTTCAGCTTTCCTAGTGTGAAGCTGAGGCTTGGCGGCGGGGCCCACCCTGAACAAAATTTTAGCTTTATTCATGGAGTAATAATCAAATAATCCAGCCAAAACTATATGCAGAATCCAGACACATCTTGGGGTTCCACAGTGCCCTTGCTCCTCTTTCTATGCCCAATACCTACACTCAGAAGCAGTAAGATTAAACCACTGTCTTGGTTACTACTGTTAACTCCTGTTCAAGAGGTCTTTTATAAGAATAGAGTCTCATCTGCATTGATGGTGAAGCATCATGTTTTCCAGGCTTGTGGTTTTGGTCCTATTTCATTTGGAAGTGGGGCAAATCCTCCTAGCCATGTGTGTTTGAAACCCTGTTCAAGAATCAATTATATCAGCAATACCTGGTGAGCTCATTAAAAAAAAAATTACATATATATAGACTGTATTCTGAATTATTGGGCAAAATTTAAACCTCAACTTCTTTATCAAATGGTGAAATGTACTAGAATGAAGGCCTTACTTTACTGGTTGTCAGGCAGCAAAGTAAATTTATGAATGTGAAGGGTCCATCATTTTGTTTGGGCCAACCTAACTGACAGGCAATATCAGCTGCTGCTATTATTGATATTGCCACTATAACCATTATTAGTCAGGCTAGTAATAAAAATGCATCAGCTTTCTCCTGAGTAAGAGCCACTGTCCCAAGGGATGGCCTTTCCTCTCACCACTGCATTTCGTGTGCAATTGGTGGCAGCTGACGTTACCTCTGTGGTCAGGTAAGGGATACTGTGGAGAGAAACCCAGGGAAAACTAGATGCTGCATAGGGGGCTCTGCTATCTAAGCTTCCACTAAGTTACTGATGGAGAAAGGTCTTAGATTAGACCCGAATAGGTTAGCCTGCTCCTCTAAGGTCTGCCAGTTAGGGCCTCCCTAGCCTGCCATCTCTTCCTCTGTCAAATGAAGGTGTGATATTAAATGATTTCCAAAGTGGTCTCCATCTCTGGAGACTTCATGTTTCTATCAACTAGGACTCTGCCATCTGCCCTCTGCATACTGTGAGCAGGTGGCCAGCGTTCGCCATTTCACGTGGGACTTCTCTCCTGACAAGTTACATTCCCTGGGCCAGGAGTTCATACACACAGGAAAGCGGAAGTTGATTCCACTTCCTGGTACACAATGGATGAACCAATGTTCGCCATGTTTTCGCTGCTCGTTCACTCCTGCAGCCATTCCATCGCCAAAGAATCTTCGATTATTGGCATGCCTTCGTCCAGCAGCAAACTACATCCACGATCACTCAACTGCAGCTAAAAGTGAAGACTGATGTCTACATTACCCAGCATGCACTGGGAACAGAGTAGGCTACTCTTGAATGCCCATGTCTGTTCCTGCTCATCTTTAGTTCATCTGAAATAAGCTTCATTGGCTGTTGTTTTCCTCACACCAGAGGCTGACCCTGATAATATGAGTAATTACCTTGTAACAATAACTAGTCAACTCTATCCACTGCATAAGGGATCATCCATCTAAATTCTTTGCATCTATCATTTCATTAAACTCTCGTAATAATTTTACAAACAGATGACATGCAAAAGCACTCTATGCTTGGTCTTTTTGAAGAATCTCTGTCTTGATTTTCATAGTGGCCGTACTAATTTACATACCCTCAGTCTTTCACAGAGAGCACATTGGCCAAGCAATGGCCGTGACTCATCCACATGGCTGCACTGACAAAGGTTCTACAATCTGAGGTGCAGGATCTCAGGATAAATCCTGAGGGCATTTCACTGACCTTCTCAGACCAAAAAGCTACAACTCTTGTTGCACAGGTCCTGCTTTACCTTGGTCTTAACCATCCAGTAGAAAAGTATGAAGACGAAATATAGGAAGCAAAACCATGTTGTTATGTTGAGCTGTGGGGGACTCAGGTCAATAATTTCTGACATTGCCAGTTAAACAGAAGACCCAATGCTATTATGGCCTACAGGACTCTTTTAGAATATTTTGCTGAGTTTACATACCTATAATATTCAATAAGGGAACTTAAAAAAAATGGGGTATAACTATGAATGTCCATTTTGTATCTGTGTATTCAAAGTGGTTGGGATAGATATATAGTTGCATTCTCTTAATGAATAGAATGATTTGTTCTAATGGTGTTTGTAAACAGGATCACAAGTCTGCATCTTGTACAGCAATTAACCACAAAGAATATATGCAGTGTATTATTTGTTGAAACTGTACTTTTGATTTGATTTGAAACTGTCTCATTGCTATATGTTTATCAATAAAACTTTGAAAAAAAAAAAAGTAGGGGGCGGCTTTCCTTTACCCCTACAGCCTTGCCAACATTCATTGTTTTGTGTATTCCTGATCAACGCTATTCTGACAAGAGTGAGATAGAATTTAAATGTAATTTTAATTTGCATTTCTCTGGAGGTAAATATTCTTTTCATACACTTTTTGACCATTTGAAGTGCCTTTGATAAGTATCTATTCAGTCTGTTTGCCCAGATTTCTTACTGGATTTATTGCTTTTTAAGAGTTCTTTATATATTCTGGGTATTACTTCTTTATCGGAAGAGTAACTAGCAAAGCTTTCCTGCCATTTGGTGGATTGTCTCCACTTTGCCTCTTGTTTTCTGTGTTGTACAGAAGCTTTTCAATGTGATATCATCTCATTTGTTGATTCTTGATATCATTTCCTATAGTTTCAGAGCCCTGTTGAGGAAATCTTGGTCCTTGCTGAAGGTTTTGACTGTTTCTCTTATGTGGTTTTCCAGCAGCTTTAATGGTTCTGGCTTTATATATAATTCTTGATTCATCTTGATTTGATTTTAGTACAAACAGCAAGATAGGAATGTAGTTGAATTTTCTGTTTGTAGCCCACCAGTTTTCTCAGTACCATTTGTTGAACAGACTTTTCTTCCACATATGTTTTTGGCCACTTTGTCAAAAAAAAAAAAAAAAAAAAAAAAAGTGGATGGCTGCAGGTGTTTGGGTCTGAGTCTGTGTCTTCTATTGTATCCCACAGGTCTATAGCTCTGTTTTGGTGCCAGCATCATATTGGCTTTGTTCCTGTGGCTTTACAGTATAGCTTGAAGTCACACACACACACATATTATAGCAGTACAATCCACAACAGCTACACAGTGGAAACAGCCAAGATGCCCATCACTGGATGGATGGGTAAAGAAAATAGGGCACGTACACACAGAGAACTAGTAGGCGTACACAGAATTCAATCATGCCATTTGCAGGAAAACATGGAACCAGAAACTATCATGTTGAGTGAAATCAGTCAGATTCACGAAGTTAAATATTCCATGTTTTCTCTTATATGAGGAGCCTAAAAGATATATGTGAAATTAATAAATAAGTAATTAAAATGAAAGCGGGAGGACAGGAAACCAGAAGACAGAGTTCTAGAAAGAAAACGAGGACAAATGCAAAGAGGAGACAAAAGGGGAGGGGAGATTAAAATTAAGATATAAATACTCATGCACCAAATCTCCCAAATAAACCCATCATCATATAATACTAACATGTCGTGATCAAATGAAATGCACTTTATGGTTTTGTTTTGTTTTGTTTCTTTTTTTTTGGTACTGGAGATCGAACTCAGGACCTTGCACTTGCCAGGCAGGCACTTATGCTGCTGAGAGGTTTCCTATCCCTTTATGGTTATTATTAGCTGACTGTTCCAATTCATTCCATATCCATTCCAAAGTAACTTACCTGATTGTGTCCCAGAACTATAACACACTCTTCTATGCACTTTACCAAACTTTGTTTCCCAAATCCTATCCTCTAGCATATTTCTGCTGTATTTTCCACTTTAATTACCATGTTATAATTTCTCTTGTTTTTGCTTTTGTAAATCATCATGTATTATTAGCTTAATTATACTAATTTCAGAGTTAACATTCTTTATTCTACATTACTATATGCTGTCTTATGTTGCACATATTGAGAAAAAAATGATTAAATTCCTTTGGGTCACAATAATTGGGCAGAAATAATAACTTTAATCACTCTATTTGCTAATATATATTATAGTTGTAAGGGCTACCTTGTGTATGAGCTTATTATAGAATACCACATCTATTTTCCCAAGTTTTCCGTCTGCATTACCTGCTAGCATACTTCATTTTCACTCAGGAAAAATTATTTAACAAGAATTAAGTGGTATTGATTTCAAAGTTCTGCAGTTAAGGAATTCCTTTCTAATTTTAGAACCCTGCGACACATCATTTGAAGAGAGACAGCACTTGCCTTCATCTCCATCGTCCCCAAATGGGTAGAAGAGGGCCACGGCAAGATTGATGAACACTGCTAGGTTGAAGGAGATGCTGCCCCAGAGGGAGATGTGCCTCGAGAACCAGAACAGAGCAGGGTTGTCTAGGAAGCAAAAAGAGCAAAGGAACAGGACAGAAAACAGAATTATTCCAACACACAAGCCTTACTGAAGTAGCACTGCACCAACTGCAGTTGGGTGAACCATTATGGTAAAAGCATTGATTATGATTTACTTTAGAAGTTTATCAACAATTATTAGTACCATGGGAGGTTACGTTGGATTCCTTATTTCATCCTTTAGGTAGTTTGTACCTAAACTGCTGCAGAAGATGAGTAATTTTGCAACTGCTGAGAATCGTCAGAAAAGGTGACCTCGCATCAATCCCCAGAGCAGATTACAGAAAAAGTACGTTAAAAGGCAACTGGGACCCTTCTTAATGGAATAGCATACATCACGTCCCCCAACAATTTGGCAATATTGACAGCTGGTCTTACTGTCATGACTCAAAAGTCAAATTAAAAAATTAAATCCCTCATCACAGAACTATCTTTAATGAAAATCGCTACGACACACTCATAGCCACCTGAAACTCTGAAACATAACACTGGGGCATAATAATATCTACAGAGAATTAGTGATTTACAATAATATCTACATTTTAAAGTGCAATGCTTTCTAATAACATGTTGGGCTTAAGCAGCAGAAGAAAATGAAATCTTCAATAAGAATTATCAGTAAGTGCCAGAGGCATTTCTGATATTTACAGAAGGACTCCATGCATGTTATCAGCAATAAATCAGAAATACATGTATTGACTATGATTTACATTAACTGAAAGTCAGTTCCTTCCACCTCTCCTTCATAAGAAACATAGCTGTAGTGCCTATCATTTCTAATGGAAGCCAAGTTTATCAGCCTGCCCTGGGTACATGCATGACTACTTTAAGTTTTCTTGATTCTCTGAGTTTTAATAGTTTAACATCAGTATTAAAATGTTGGCATTAGAAGGGAAGGGGCAGTGCACTGATTCCAAATAGAAGTGATCACTTTTTGGATACTGCATTAGTCACTGGGAAGAAATCATCCCTGACACCCACAATTTAAAGGAGTAAAGAAGGACAGCTTTATTTGGTTCACAGTTTCCAGTGGGTTCAGTCCGTGGTTGGCTGGTTCCAAGGTAGAAATGCATGGGGCAGGACATAATGGAGCTAAGCTGACCAGCCTATGGCAGCCAGGAAGCAGAGGAAGAGGGAGGAGCCAGGGAAGGACACACCCCCTAGGTCATGCCCCAAAGGACCTGCCTCCAGCCAGGCCCCATCTCTGAAGAGAAGAGATTTCAGGCAGATATTTTAGATCTAAATCATAACAGATACACCCTCTGAATCTCAATCTAGAGTTTGCTGCCTATTGCAAACTGCACTCTTTACTACATTTCTCTTGAAATGGAATATTTCTGATTGGAAGAGGTTACAATTAGCCATGGTACTGGCTAATGAACAATGAATGATAAGCATCTACATCTCCATTATTTCTGAATTGAGTCCTCATTTTTAAAAAGCAGACTAATAAGAATATTAGAAGATGCTGATACATATGTTTACAAAAACAAGTGCTCACTACACATAGACCAAATGAATTAGAGTTGCCTATAACCTCATAATAAACAGCTTCTAATTTTCAAATAAATGTATGCTGGAAATAACTTGTTTTATTCTTGATAAACACGTAACACATTTTTTTAAAAAGCACAAATCCTAGAGAACTACTTCATTATTCAATTTGTTTTTAGGGGGAGCGTGTCAACATAAATGTATGTTTTTCAGGTGTTTTAAATAAAATTGAGTCTTTATATTTATTTTGGACACCAAAAATCTTCACTAAATTTCATAGGCTCTATATGATAAAATGCTAAGGGACAACAATTTTTCTCTTGACTTTTTTTCAAAAATTTTTCTAAGAAAGTCAAAACTTCATGCCACAATCTTATATCCAAAGAAGGAGATTCTCAAGCTGGCCTCAAATTCCTAAGTGATAGTCATTAAAGTTCCTAGAAAACTAGTATGATGAAACACTGTTGAATGGAAGCAATGTGAATGAATGCTTGCATGTCTGGAAACTTCTCCAAAGAACAAGAAAGACTTAATCATCAGTTTCCTCCTATCAAATAAAAAGCAATGCAGAAAGAAAGAAAGAAAAAAAAAAAAACCCTCATGTCTTGAACACAGAATCATCAACTCAGTCACAGGACAACAGAGGAGCAGGATGCTGTTGCCTATGTCTCCCCACCCTACTACCCATTGTCAAGGCCCAGAGTGTAGAACTGCAGCTGTCCAACACTGGAAGCTCACAGCTACAACCTGTGATCTGTGATATGTGTATAAAACTTCAGTGCCTCGGGACCCATTTACGGCACACAATGGAACATAATGGCTAACAAGAGGACACATGCCTTTAAGCCTAGTACCTTCAGGAGGCTGAGGAAGGAGGATCACCATGGGTTCAAGGCCAGCCTGGGCTACACAGTGAGTTTAAAGCCAGACTGAACTACACAGTGAGACCATGTATCAAAAAACGTTGGGAGAAACACTGAAATGCTTTCTCTTCAAATTCTTGTTTCTTGATTTTCTTAAGTAACACATATGAACTTCATGCCAAAAAATGTTTTAAAAATTCTATTCTTTGTAGAAATGGCTTAAAACTAGGCTCCTCATTAACAGGTGATGTAATTACTCAGGGTTTTGTGTTTTCATTAAGCTGCAGGGGTCTCAGCTCCACTTGAAGACTGAGCCTACACTCTTAAGCCTACAAGTGATTTCAGTAACATCAAATAGGCAAGGAATTAAAAATCAATTCAAACAAATTGGCATCAGGTGTCCCAAAGTACCATTCTGCGCAAAGCCTCCATTTCAGGTTATTGTACTTACTCCTGATTTTCCTCTGCCACTTCATTTCATTGTAGAGATCTTCTGTTTGCTGGAAGAAGTCATTCACTTTACTTCCTTGTTCATCCCTTTCTGTTGTGTTAAACACACGGCACTTGGATTCTCGCGTGAGGAATTCACATATATTGGGAACAGGAAAGACTATTTGTTCCATTGTCCTGTCATGTCGAACAATCTGAAAACATTGATTTGCGTTCACATTTAGCCTTTTGTACACCTCGGTCTCAGGCTATGTTTTGTTTTTGCAATAAGCTAACTGATCATATATGACAAATCTTACAAAGGCAACACTCAAAACTCAATAATAGCATTACTGTTCAAAAACAAAAAAACACACTGAGAGAGAAATTAGGGAAACCACACCTTTCACATCAGCATCCAATAAAATGAAATATTTAGGAATCAATCTAACAAAGGAAGTAAAAGATCTATACAGTGAAAATTACAGTACTCTAAAAAAAGAGATTGAAGAGGATTTCAAAAACTGGATATTCCTTGCTCATGGATAGCAAGAAATGACATTGTGAAAATGGCCATACTCCCAAAATTGTTAAATAAAATTCTGATTAAAACACCACTAGTATTCCTCCCAGATCTACAGAAAACATTCCTAAAATTCATCTGGAACTAGAAGAGACCCAAAATATCAAAAGCAATCCTGGGCAACCAAGGAAAGGCAGGAGGCGTCACAATCCCTAGCTGAAATTATACTGTAAAGCTACTGTGATAAAATCAGCATGATGCTGGCATAAAGAGAGACCTGAGGATCAAGGGAACAGATTAGAAGATGCAGAACAACTACAGACACACTCAGCCGCCTTATCTTTGACAAAGGGGCCAAACACATGCCCTGGAAGAAAGACAGCCTCTTTAATAAATGGTGCTGGAAAAACTGGCTTTCCACATGCTGAAGGCTAAAAATAGACCCATGCGTATCATGACGCAATGAACTAAAGTTGAAATGGATCAAAACTTTAAACATTACACCAGAAACACTATATCTACTGAAGGAGAAAACAGGTGGAAATCTTGAAAACACAGAGGTAGGTGGAGAGTTCATGAACCAAAACCAAACTGCAACAAGAAGTACTTCAAAGAATCAACAAATGGGATCTCATCTCATTGAAACCTTTTTACAAGTCAAAAGAAACTACCGAAAGAGTAAAAAGAAGACCAATGAAATGGGAAAATGTTTCAGCTACCCATCCCTCTGAGAAAGGACTTCTACCTAGAACATATAAAGGACTTCAAAAAATCATGCCCTCAAAATTCAAAGAAACAATCAAAACATGGGCAACTGAGATGAATATACACTCCTCAGATGAAGAAATACAAATGGCAAATAAATAATGAAAAAATATTCAATGTTGTTGCTTATTTGAGAAATGCAAATTAAATCAACACAGAAACTCCATCTCACACCAGAAAGAGAAGCTATGAATCAGTCAATAACAAATGCAGGCAGGACTGTGGGGAAAGAGGAACCCTTCTGCCTGTTGGTGGGAGAACAGCCTAGCGCAACAACTGTGGAAATCAGTGTGAATATTCCTCAAAAAACTAGGATCACAGGTCCAATTCAGCTCAGCTATTCTCTTTCTGGATATTTTTTCAGAAGAACTGAAAACATCATACCACAACGATATATGCGCACCCATATTTATAGCAGCGCAATTTGTCACAGCTAACTCTTAGAAACAAACTAAATGCTCGTCAACTGAGAAATGGATAAGAAAGATGTGCTATTTTATACAATGGAGTACTACTCAGCTACAAGAAAGATAAACTTGAGGCTTTTATAGGTAAATGAATGCAACTAG